TATCCCCCATGTTTTTGGGCTTTGCTGGTTGTCCCCTCCCTACCTTTCTGCCACATGTCAGGGTGTTTCTAAGCCTTCCTCAGTCATTGGCTGTTGGCTGCAACCAAGGATGGGGATTTTGACTGGGATGTGCCAATGCTCCTGATGGGACTGAAGCTGGAGGTTCCTGGCTAAGGCATCTTGCCCTTCCACCCAGGGTCAGATCAATCACCATATTTGGGGTCGGGAAGAAAATATACACCATGGTCAGACTGGTTTGCAGGGGGCTTTGCCTTCCTTTGTAGCAGGGGGCATAGCCCCCTGCAAGCGATCCCGAGGCTCATATTAACAACTTTTTATAGAATCAGGACATCGGCTGTTGTGGTTCCCCTGCTTTACCTGGGCCAAGTTAGGGTGTTAGGTCTTGTTAACAGTATCTTTACAAAAAGCTTAGTTTATATTTCTATAGGATGGCTTGGATAGGGATCCCTTCCATTCTGTATGATTTTTATGATCCTGTTTTTATCCAGGTCAAAATACAGATCAAGATCACTTCAAATGCAATGTCAGTTTACAGCCCGCAAGGGATATGACATTTGTGTAGTTGGCCTCGACCACAGCTTGGGCCCTTGATTGGAGAGGACCAATTATGCTTTAACAGTTGATGAATTAGCCAACATGTTTTGTGTACACATCAATTACACTCTGGCACTAGGCTCAAGTGTGCAGCTTAATAAGATCACAGGGAAGTTACTATAATGGCTAATTTGTCAAATTTGATTATACTATCACTTTAAACCTGAGGTCCTTATGTCACCTGAGAAATAGCACCTGGTACCCAAAAGCTTGCCCAACAGGTCTCTCAGCTCTACAGTTGGTTCAATAAGAGACATTAAAAAGAATCCTTGCTTCTCACCCTAATTAATACACCTACCTTACTTCCCCCCCAACATCCATCCCAGTGCTTATTGGCTGCATTATCATCCAAATGGGTATGAAGTTGAGGGGGCTTACGAGAGCAACTTGAAAAAACAAATCTTAACACTTATCAGATCTGTCCTTTCACTCTCTCTCAAAATACAAAAGATGCATCAATAACATTAACAGCAAGGGAATCAAATAAATAAAAGGTAGCATTTATTTTCATATACCAGGCAGGGATGTGCAAAGATGTACCCTGCCTAAAGTGGTTCAAGGGAACATGAGTTCAAAGGCACATTACCCAATTCTGATTAGGAAAGCTGGGCAAAGTTAAAGCATAATGCAAACTAAGTTAAAAGGATTATGATAAGGAGTCAAGGCTCCTGCTAAAGTCATCGGTCAGCAGACAGGGCTCTCTCCTGTTAGGTGTGTGTGTGCGGGGGGGGGGGGGGGGGGGCCCCCC